GTGTTACAAGCAATTCAAACTGTCCTGTAAATAAATTTGATTTCATCTTGAGACTCAAAAGTTTTATATAAGAAAAGAAGGTAATATCTGGCTACTTTATTGTCGTTCTTCCCAAAAGAAATAATTTTAATGAACAATTTATATTCTTGAGAACATTTTGTCAACACAGTTTTTTCCATGTAAGAAGATTTTTTTTATTATTTTGAGAATCGTGTTTTTTTTTTTTGTCTCATCGCACATTTAGATCGGAAATCTTGAGGTGAATTACCCAAGTATATACGGAAGAACGAAAAGTCAAGAGGTATCCAAAAAATTGGTCCCAAAGATCGTCGATATTACACGCGGAGCAAACTTTTCGACAGAGGGGACTGTATATATATATATATATACAGCCTTAAGCTGTTTAGTATTCCATCGCCGATGGGTAGCTATCGGTCGCCATCTCGGTAAAATATTGCGCTATCGTTGACGGCTCAATCTGTTCAGAAATTACGGTTTGCTTCTCCGTTCCTATATAGCAAGACCATTGCAGGAATGAAAAAAAGCATTTTACCCGCCTCGCTGAATTAAGCTCAACGTTTCTTCGACACGCGACTTATACTTATATATATATATATACATATATATATACCTAGATTTTCTTTGTTGTCTTTAAAATTACATGCCTTGAATTTTGTTATATATATGAAAAATTATAGTCTTTGCGTAATAATATTAATTTGCTGATACTATTTTTGAAAATGTTTGAATAAAATTCCGTTAAGATTTTATAAACTCCAAAAAAAGCAAAACAAAATAATGATTCCCTGAAAGGAATAATCAAAACGTAATTTTTACTACTTTCGGATTAAAACGGCAACTGTCCGAAGTTTATGCGCATCTCTGACAACTTTTACTCCAAAAATAGTAAAATTTACTCTAGAAATAGTAAAAATTACTATGAAAACAGTAAAATTTACTACTTAGAAATAGTCAATTTTACTATTTTTGGAGTAAAAGTTGCCAGAGATGCGCAAAAACTTTGGACAGTTTCCGTTTTACTCTGAAAGTAGTAAAAATTACTTTTTCTTCCCGGGATAAAATGAATAGTATTCGAATAAGTATACGCAGTAATCGGAATATTCGAAATAGTATTCCAAACGGTATTGAAAGTATATATAGAGTATACCAAATAGTATTCTAACTTGTATACATAATCTCCAATGTATACCTGAACGGCTTTCGTAATATTCGAAATGGATATGACAGTACAGTGGAACCTCGATTATCCGAACTAATCTAGGCAAGGCTGGGTTCGGATAATCGAAAATTCGGATAATAGAGATTTTAATTTCTTTTTATAATTAAAGTAAAAAAATGTACAGTTGAACTATTTATTTAACTTAATACATATATTTTTAAATATACATAAGTACACGGAAAAAAAGAAAAAGTAATTTTTACTACTTTCATAGTAAAATGGGATCTGTCCGAAGTTTCTGCGCATCTATGGCAACTTTTACTCCAAAAATAGTAAAATTTGCTCCAGAAATAGTAAAATTTACTCCAGAAATAGTAAAAATTATTACAAAAATAGTAAATTTTACTATTTTTTGAGTAAAAGTTGCCAGAGATGCGCAGAAACTTCGGACAGGTCCAATTTTACTATGAAAGTAGTAAAAATTACTTTTTCTTTTTTTCCGTGTATATAAATATATGTAAATATATATTAATTAATAATATGTATATTAAAAACTCAGAAAATTCGGAAATTTTTAAGATTTTTTTGGCATAAATTTGCCAAAATGTCCCGCGAAAATATGAATGATAAAATAAATAGAGAAAATAAAATTTAAAATTCGGGAGACCAAAAAATAGTTCGGATAATAGAAGTTCGGATAAAATGTTTTTCGGTTCGGATAATAGATGTTCGGATAATCGAGGTTCCACTGTATACACTTAGTAAACTAAGCTGAATCTTCAAATGGATCATTTTAGTTTCCTAAGTATACCAAAGTTATTACATATTATGTATAATTATGTTATTTAAGAAAAAAATTTTGTGTATATTTGGTGTTTATGTATCAAAAAATATTCAATGAATAAATTAATTATCATTTAATATTATTTATTTTTATTCACATTTTTTATTAAGAAGAATTTTCGTCTATATGACAATGCGACATCTATTAGACACCATTAGAACTCTATAGTTAAAGTTCATTACAAGATAATTTGGAAAAATTCATATAATATCCCAATGTATACGAACGGTATACCCTCCTCTCTATGTGGTAGATCTTAGTATACCATCAGTTTACTTTAGTAACTTTTCTCAAAGTATTCCACAGTCTACCTTTTGGCACGGAGGAATACTTATTCGAATACTATGTGACTCAAGTTTACTTTTGGAATACCTACATTTTTCATCCCGGGTTTTTTTTTTCCCTGCAGGGTTAGCTTAACTAAACTGAAAAAAAGTATCGAAATAATCCATATTTGATCCAAATTTTTTTTACTAATTTGAAGTAAATTTTTTTATTGAATTATCAAAATTAGTTGATCAAATACGGACTAGTATAAATATAATTTTCTTGAATCAATGCCCCTTTTTTGTAGAATATAATATTTATAGCCGAAACAGAATATTTTTTCAGTGTATCGAAAAGGTGATTTAAAATGGATTGCCTAATTTCATTGCTTAAAGAAAAAATTAACAACAATGTTTTTCTCTATAATGATTATACGCAAGGCAAAGATTTATGTATAATGATCCGTGTACTTTGAAAATTCTCCCTTCGTGGCGGTTGAATCTCAGCCTTTATTATGTTTTTTTCATAATTATAATGTTTTTTTGCCTTTAGATGGTAATTAAAAAGAATAAATAATGTCGATAATTAAGGATAAATAATGAGTTAAAAGAGCCTGTTAAAATCTTGCACGTGTTCGAGGCGCACTTTGCGGCAATCAATTGACCATACCTACTATATAACAAAACCTTTCCTCTGAAGCGCGTATCGCACGATTATCGTTCCTTTGGTGGAATCTCCTAATTAATGGCAGGAACGAGAAGTGCGGTCAACTGCGTGTGTATGACATCAGTCGTAAAATGCTATATGTCGTAAAAGAAAACTTCCAGAAACAGGAACACACAAAATGTACCTCTATATAACGATGAGAACCTTTTGGAATTCGGAACGAAGAGATGAGGGTCTATATAAACGATTTGCGACTTTCCCGTCATATATCCTTGAGATAACTAATTAAAACTGAATGTTGTCTTTGCGGGCACGTTCGACATGTGGTCATAAAAATCTATTCCATCACATGACATTCAAGTCTCGTATATGTATATATAGGGGTTTTATGAGTTAAATAAAATCACCATCCGGGAAATCTAAATCTTGCACACTTTGGATATATATACCGAAGGGGTCCTTTTATTGCCCCGTAAAATATTGTGGCCGGAAGTGGCGTTGCACGCCCACCTCCTCCAAATATGAGATCAGCCCGCGCGATGGACGTTCGAAAGAGAGAATGATTTTGGCGCCGTAAAAAAAATTTATGCCGGTGCTGTTAAAACTTGTGTGGTTTTCTGAGAGGCAGAGGCGTAACATAGACATTTTCAAAGTTGGCATAATATTTTCAGCCCTCTGTGGTCGAGATAAAATACAGAAAAGGTTTTTTTCTTTTTTTGATTATTAAAATTGTTTCTGTACATGAAGAAGAGGGCTTCATCATTTGATATTTATGTACGAAAGATGTGCGAGAATGATAAAGGAGAATAAAAAAAAAAAGTAGCAGGCTCAAGAGACACCCTATGGTCATAGGATCTGACACCCATGTCAAGTAGCCACGCAGCGTGTATAGCAGGAAGTTGTACACGCGACTACACGTGCTTATTTGCCTAAATTAAGAAGAAGATTATTCTCTCAAGCTCGGGGGGTGGCCAAGACAGAAAATAAAAAGAGAATCGAAGAAAAAAAAGGAAACAAAGAGTGAGCTGAAGGGAATCAAAGGGACGAAGAAATCTTCTTGTACACGCGGGGACATAGACACAATGGCTTCTCGTGGGCCCCCTGGTGGGTCTCGCGAACACCACAGACCTTATCTGGTAAAATCTATGAGGTCCATATACTAGGACCCTTGGGTCCTGTTAAAAATATCGCATGCCAGATCTTGGAGATGGTCCTGCGATAAAATCCATTTGAAACGAGCGAATAAGAGAGAGAGAGGGTAAAGATTTTTTTTTTTTTTTTTCAACGAGGGATTACAAGCAGCTGGAGGGACTTGAAGTGTACAATAAACCTGCAAATTCGTGCTCGAAATACTCCCACGAATGTTGACATCTATGTTCAAACGGAGAGACGATCGAAGACGATAAAAACGATACTATCCGTGCGACTTACGATCACTTTTTGAATAAACCATCTTGTTTTGCTTTGTATATATATTTATTTATATATTGAATATCTTATCAATCGTGAGTCACGCAAAAGAATGAAGACAAATATTTTTTTACGGAAAATTTGAAGAAAAGCGAATTCGACAGATTTGGATTTACAGGATCGATTTAACGATAATGCTATTGAAGAATCGAAATTGAATTTCTATTCAATGCAATAATTATTATTCATAAATTATTATTTTAATACATTATATTAATAAATTATAATTATAAATTATTAGAAATTATTATAATTATAAATTATAAATTAAGTAATTGTTATTTATTATTTGTTTATTGTAGTAATGTGTTATGTATATTTATTTATATTTACATTGTAAAAAAACTAGAATTGATTTAAGAAAACTGTACTTCTCTGTATAATTGATTCACTAATTTTCTTAATTAAAGAAAATTTACTTCAAACTTGTAATTTTTTTTGGATCAAGAAAATATTAAATCAAATACAGATAAATGTTTTTTTGATTAAATTCTATTTTTGCTAGTGTATTGTTTACAATATTTAATTCTATTTGTACATTAGGTTTAATACAAATTTTTTTTTTTGTTACAGCAAATACAAAGTACTGGTCACTGGAATATGAATCCTGGAGAGAGTGAGAGAGATCCTTGGAATCAATTATCATTTTGTCCTACGGTTAGTGAAAAACTTTTTTTAATTGCGAGAACGAAATTTAATTTAATTTAATTTAATTTAAGCAACCAAACTATTTGTTTAAGTCAACCAAAAAATTTGGTTGAGTGTTTTTTGTTGGCATAACAAAAATGTTTGGTTAGCCTAATCAAATTTTTTTGTTGTCGAAACCAAATTTTGGTTGGAATTTAAAAATGTTCAACCAAATAATTTTGTTGGCCTAACCAAATGTTTGGTTGAGATAACTCTATGACTTTGTTTCAGCCAACCAAAATTTGGCTACAAGAACCAAAATTGCCTAACCAAACAATTTTGTTGCAAACACTAAATTTTTTTTCTCAGTGTAGTTCCAATCAGCAGTACATTTTAAAACCCGAAATTTTAGGTTATATGTTAAAATAATGGTAACTAATTCAATTAGTCAAATTAATTATTTTTCCACTGATAATTAGTGACGTTTTATACTTATATAATTAGCTATTTTTTATTAACTGCAGAAGCAAAAAATCAGCCAAGATTTTAGTTATTTTTAACTAATTCAGACTCAGAGAGAATGGTTAACTAATTTTTTTTCTCATCAAATATAAAAGATTTTAATGTACTGTACTAAAGAAATTAAGATCGGAAAAGAAGATAAATACACATAGTATATATTAGTGATGAATATCATCCTTTTTTGGTATAGGAATATCCATTTCAGATTTTGATATGCGATGAGAGAAGACGAATAAGATTCATTCTCGTATAATATAATTAGTCATTAATTGCACGATTGCTATTGATAGGACCTAATATATATCCATCGAGTCATTGGGGTTAATTCATCTTCCTATTTGTGCAGCTAGGTATAGTACAGGTGAAACCAATGCGTCATTAGAGACAGGCTTAATTACGGATATCGTATTCATCGCAGAGCATACACTGGTCCTTTGACATCGCTCCTGGCAGTTTCCTTTCATCTTGCCGAAAACATTAATTCTTGTTGTAAGGCGAGGAAATTATATGAACGAGGCCGATGCGGTCTTTTTAAATTACAGCGATTTAACGTAATCATCTCAATACTATTACTTCAATGGTCATTATACTGTTTGCCGCTCATAACTTCTACTAGCAATTAATTCAACACTCTCTTTAGAAAAAAAAAAGATTTTTAATTCATCCGCGCCCTTTATAGTTTTGTATATCTATAAATACAAATTCTTAATTTTTGGAATGATTAATTTTTTCAGAATTAGACATTTTTGAATTATGTTGGTAATTGAAGGAACGGAGATTTGTTATTGTTTTTTTGATTCTGAATAAGTAGTTATTACATCTTTTTATAAGAGTTTGCTATGTAGCGTAAACCACGGTTAAAGGCAAGTACGATATTTTACGATCATAGCGTGACTGCATCGATTGTGACCTTCTCTCTGGTAAACCCTACAGCATCCGCCAGCTGCAAGATCTATCAGTCACCCATTTTTTTTTTTTTTTCTTAAATTTTATTTACTTTATTTTTCAAGTTGTCAATACAAGGTCTTTATTATTAAATGCGGTTATATTGTCTTTGTTAGGAAGGAAAGTTGTTATTATATTTTTTAAATGTATATGCGTGATAAATTTCAATAAACGGACACTAATTAAGCAATAAATTTAAAAGTGAACACGAGTTTAAAAGTTTTTTTTTAAGGTTATATTGTGGAAAGATTTAGTAATTCAATGATAAGTTTTTTTTTTCCTTCCTTAAGGTGTATTTCTTCTTGGCACACGAATAGAGGTGGTTCATTGTTCCATGACTGTACGAACTATAGAATATAGAGAATACTTATAATAGCACCTTACATCACACCTTCTAATGCTCTTAGTCAAGGGTCTCTCATTGTCCTTCTGAAGCATACAAAAGAATGTCGGCTAGGAAATAAAAGCAAAACGACGACGACGACACCTTGAAAATGCGACTCTTTTCATACTGCTTTACTTTAGGTTAAAGATTCATTGTCTCTCGAGACAGGTTCTTCATTTTTAAGAAATTCACACGATGACAGGTGGCTCGTATTTTTAAATTATTAAAAAAAAAAATTATCCGTGTCCAGTCGAATATGATCAGAATAACTGATTTTTTTTAAGTTGTAAAACCTGATTTTTCCTTTGGTTTAAATTTCGTTTTTATATTTTGACATTTAATTGCACAATTTAATTTATTTTTAGGGTTCGTTGTCACCGTTTTTTTTTTTTTTTTGTAAATATACTGCCTTAATTACGGGGGTAGTAAAATTTAGGAATTTTTTAAGTGGCCCCCGCCTACTAAAATTTTTTTCTAGATTTTTATCGAAAAATGTTTCTAAAATATGGGTGATATTATCGATGACAGATATCATATATGTGATCCATCTTTAAGTCAAAAAAGGTTTTTCATTTTTAGAGACATAAATTTAGAGACAGGCGTGGAAATGAAACTATGAGTAAAATCATAAAAACCATGGGCAAAATCGATTGCCAAGAAAAAAACAATTAGATCCATGGTTTAAACCTTGGCAAAAATTTCAAAAATCATTGCTTATGTCCGTTTCCCATGGTACAATTTCCCATAGCAAATTTTTTTTTAATTTTACGGATTTTTAACCATAGCTTAAATTTTGGAAATCATGGGAAAATTAATTTTTTAATTTTACTAATTTTGGGCCATTGCTAAAATCTTGGAAACCATGGGAAATTTCTTTTTTATTTTACGGATTTTGGACCATGGCTAAAAACTTGCGAACCATGGGAAAATTATTTTGTTTAATTTACGGATTTTTGACCATTGCAAAAATCATGCGAAATATGGAAAATTAATTTTTAAAAATTCCCAATGGTTCCCAAGTTTTTAATCATGCTCCAAAATCCGTAAAATAGAAAAAAAAATTTCCCATGGTTCGCAAGATCATGCGAAATAAGGAAAATTAATTTTAAAAAATTCCCAATGGTTCGCAAGATTTTAGCAATGGTTTAAAATCAAAAAAATTAAAAAACTTTTTCCCATGGTTTTCAAGATTTTAGCAATGGTTTAAAAACCGTAAATTTAAAAAAAAAATTTTCCCATGGTTCAAAAGATTTTAGCAATGGTCAAAAATCCGTAAATTAAGAAAAATAATTTTCCCATGGTTCGCAAGATTTTAGCAATGGTCCAAAATTAGTAAATTTAAAAAAAAAATAATTTTTCCATGGTTCGCAAGATTTTAGCAATGGTTTAAAATCAAAAAAATTAAAAAACTTTTTCCCATGGCTTTCAAGATTTTAGCAATGGTTTAAAAACCGTAAATTTAAAAAAAAAATTTTCCCATGGTTCAATAGATTTTAGCAATGGTCAAAAATCCGTAAATTAAGAAAAATAATTTTCCCATGGTTCGCAAGATTTTAGCAATGGTCCAAAATTAGTAAATTTAAAAAAAAAATAATTTTTCCATGGTTCGCAAGATTTTATCAATGGTTCAAAATCAAAAAATTTTTTTTTTATTTCCCATCGGTTGGCAAGATTTTAGCAATGGTCCAAAAACTGTAAATTTAAAAAATTAATTTTCCCATGGTTGGCAAGTTTTTAGCAATGGTACAAAATCAGTAAAATTAAAAAAAATTTTCCAAGGTTTCCAAGATTTCAGCAATGGTTAAAAATCCGTAAAATTAAAAAAAAAAAATTTCCCATTGAAAATTGTACCATGGGAAACGGACATGAGCAATGATTTTTAAGATTTTTGCCAAGGTTTTTATGATTTTACCCATGGTTACATTTCCACTTTAAAATCTAGTTTCTTCAATAAAAAACCAAATTCCTAATAAGAACAAATGTGGTTATAAATAATTGAGGGATTTTAGTTATAATTAATTTGCCGATCCAAGCAAATACATTGATATCACATTTTTAATATTCCGACAAGCGAGCGTCAATCGGTCGTAAATTCGCGCCTAAAGGGGACCTGAGTTTCCGTATGCAGGACACGAAAAGCCCTTTGATGCGCCGTTTAGCTCCAAATATGCAAGTAATACCTGGTAATCTTTGCTAATAAGGACGGGCGTATTCGAAAGGTAGAGCTTTAAATGACAGGAAATAAATTTAAAAAAAAAAAAGGAAGAGAGAGAGAGAGACTTGTCGTAAATTCCTCCCCGTTAAGTGATACACGATCTGCTTAGATATCATCGATGCGCGCACAAGAAGTATAACATGCGTGTTTCATTACATGACAATGTTCTGAGAGTTTAAAACGAGCAGGTGCCGAAGATATATCTTTAAAAAGGCAACGATTAAACTTGTGCCGGCGCCTCTGATGAACATTACATGAGTACCAAGCCCTAAAGGCTTCGAATAATTTCTCTTAAAGACATTCTCTGCAAGCTCAACAACATTTTTTTACGAGGGGTGAATTGCAGACACTCTGATAATTTTACGGTTATTTATGATTTCATAATTAAAAAGAGATAAAAGAATACTGGTATACTTAACCGTCAATAAAGTCGCGAAAAAATATCGCGTTTAGAAACCTGTTTCTCATCTTCTTTTTTATATCTTATTCTTTTATTCAGTAGTCTGTGTTTTTTTTTAAAAAGATATTAAAGAAATACTTACGCATTAACACTAATTTATTTTCTTCTAGAATTGAAAAAGAAAATTTATCATTAATAATTTATAAAATTTTTTTTTAGCTAAAAATTAGCTATATCCAAATTGTTAAAAAATAAAGTGACTTTCTTTTTGAAAAAATATTTATACTTTTATGAGAATAAATTTGGTTAAAATTGAATTTCACAAATACTAAAATATATTCTGGTGAATTCTTTTCATGTTAAGATGAGATATTAACAAGCTTATTTTTTTCCTTGAGCACAAAATATAGGGACTACTGACATAATCAGTATTTGAGAACATGAATAACGAGAAGTTGAAAAAAAGAGTGCGTCTGAGTTTAAAGGGATATAGAATGGGGTGGAGTTAATTTAGTAGCGATTTAGCGAAAATCGTTGAAATTAATGAGAGATGTGTGTGTAAG